ATCCAACTCACCTTGCTGTTGCCTTGTTCTGTAACAGTAACCTTGGCAGTGTCCTGTAGCAACTAACCACTGTCACCTAGCAGTCCTCAAGACACAGCATCAGAGCTGGAATCAGGACAGGTATTCCATTTTGCACACTCCTGTCCTTCAGAACTGAAGAACGACTGTTTTCATCAGAAGAAAACAACACACACTGGGTTGCAGGCTACATCCCCTTTTTCAGGAAGCTGAGTTGGAGAGGATGTGGGAACATTAATTAGTCTGCACGCACTAGTGTGGATTAAAAAAGGAGCCTCCTCCACACCCGGGGTGGGGGTGGTTAAAGATGAGCACAGACAGCTCCAGAGAGGTTATTAACCATAAAAATACTCTCATCCGAGAAGCAATTAATGGTGAGCAATTCCACACATGCACAATCACTTTCTAAGTAAAGAATGGTCTGGAACAGAGCAAGGGTTGATAAATAAATACTCAGGGTCATGACCGCAGCTAGTCATAAGGCTAATTGACTAGAATCAGTAATGAGTCTGCTATTGCATCAGCCAATCCAGGCCTCTCTACCTTACATCTTTCATTACTCATTAACAAATATATTCATCAGTCACAGCCTGATATTCACTTGCAGCCTCTGTTACTACTTGCAACCTGAAATATTAGCATGCATTAGACCAAGCACAGCACCAGGTGTCCTCAAGAAGGAGGCTGCAGCAGTAAGGAGGCCAGCACTAACCTACTCAGGATCCCTGCAGTCTCACAAGGGGATGGAAAGGAACGTCATGCACAGGGTAGGCCACATATGCCCACAGTGGAGGTCTATACAAAAAAAAAACCCATTAAAAAAAAAAAAAAATCAAGACAACATACCTATCTCTTAGTCTCCATCCTTGCAGCTATTCAAAATAGTCTGGACGTGGTCCTGGGAGACCAGCTTTGGGTGGCCCTGCTTAAGCAGAGGAATTGGAACTAGACTGCAAAGGTTTCCTTCCAAGCTCAACCATTCTGTGTCCCTTCCTTTTGAACACAGTGTTCTGGATAGCACTTGGAAAACACCACAATCCTGATGTTTTCCAACCATGCTGTCAAGATAGGCTCCAAGGGCCCTGATGTTTTGTAAGGAACTCAATGAGCCTGCAGTCTTCACCTCAGCATGCATGTGGGCTCCTGGGTAAGGTACTTCAGTGAGAAAAGCCACCAGAAACACAGGCTGGGCAGAGATAGCTGGAGCCAAGCAGGACACAGGTGATGCTCCCTCATCACTTAACAGCCAGCTCCGTGAGCAAACCCAACCCAGCCTCAACACCTGCAGCCTCTTCCAAACATGACCATCAAGGGAAGTCTGAAAAGTACTTCAGATAGTACTCGGGTGTGACTGGGCTGAGGCTACACAAACCAGGTCCAGCCTTCAAAGAGCTGCCCACCTCTGCCCACAGAGACCACTACTCTCCTCCCAGTAAGGCAAACAGTAATCTAGCATATATAACTAGGAACAGCCACTCACTTGTAAGAGAGCACACAATCTTTGATACTCTTTCATTCTCAGCACTGACAGCCCACAGGAACATGGCAGGTCTGATTATCTTTATTTTAGTTTCCAAAGCCTAGAAGGGTAAGTTACATACTGTAGTATCCACAGGTAGGCAGCAAATTGTAGAACTGTAATAGCCACATGGTACTCACTTTGGGTTTAATGACAGGATGTGAGACTGCACAGCTGTGCTCAAGGTATCAAGGCAACTCCAAAGGCTGGCAGTGAAAACAAGATACTAAACCTGGAAAAGAACAATTGGCCTAACTAGGGTTTAGGAAAAAAATATATTACCACATTAATGCCAAGGGTGTGGGGGCAGGGGAAGAAAAAAAACCCCAGCAGACTATCCCCAAAGGGGAATCAATAGCATGGACAGAGCAGACAGAACAGGAGAGAGAGAAGCTCAGGGCTAGTCATAACCATATCTGGACCAGATTATAGAAACATATTTCACTGCAAGGAGCAACATGCCCTACACTTTTCGTGGTGTGTTAGATTACTCTGTCTTCACCCCTTCCCAGGCAGCTCACAGCCCAGCAGTTAGTTACAGCACTGCGTGCAAATACAGTTAGTGAGAGTAGTCCACAGCTCCCCGACCCCTGTAACGGACTAGTGTAATTAATCAGAGGCTTGGAAAGTGTAAGCCACACAACGCACATGGGAACAAAGACAGGAGCAATCTCTTGCCAATGACACAGCATTGCTCAGTGCCCTGCTTATGCAGTCCCAAACAAGGCTACTAAAGCTGTCTCTCAGGATATACTGACCCTACCCTATGGAGAGCCACAGGGTAGGTAGTGAACCATAGCACTCCTCAGGCTGACCTGGACTCAGCTGGCATGTTGAAAACAAACAAAGACACTGGAGCTGCTGTAAGGGCTTGGAGACTTCACAGAGAACTAATATGGCCTGTAGTTCCAGTAACTGGAGAAAACGGAGATCTGGAAAGGTAGAAGAAAAGCAAGTAAGTTCCCATATCCCTCGGGCCACAGCAGAAAGAGCATATAATGCATGCATGACAATTTAACTTTACAGTCTTGAACACTGCAGCACTACATTGCAGAAAGGCACATTTGCTACTATTGTCCCTGAATAGGCTTGGACCACAAAGTTATTTGCTTGAGGTGGCAGCGAGCTCAGCTGCAGAGCTGGTATTGAACATCAGTCTACTGCAATCTAGTTTGCTGAGGTCTCCATGCCTCCTCTCCCGTACCCTGGCATTTTCTCACAAAAACAATCTCATGACTGAGAACACCTGCTCCCACCTAGTCACTAGTTCAGCAAAGACTTCTGCCACACTACTACACCTATCCCAGATGGCTGTCTGCTAGCCAGTGCCAGCCAGCTCCCTGGCTCCAGAACATTGACTCATCACTTGTTTTCAGTTTATATGTAAGTTGTACAGAATAACACCACATCAGAATTTTAGATCTGAGGTCCTCCCAAAACCCAAAGTTAAAAACAAAGCCCTTTTTCTAAGGCCATTACCTTGTCCTTCAGTTGCTGGCAAAGCTGCAGTGAAACTGTGAAGAAGACAAGGGCATCATTTAACCATGGGACAACACATTCCACTTTATGGACATGGCTGACTTCATACCGCTGGTTGCCAAACTCACTGGAGTGTGGGGGAAAAAAGAGCACAGCTTTACACACAACAGCACAGAGCAAAAAACTCAACTGGCGTCCATTCTCACAGAGGAGACTATTATGATTTCTACTACATTTAAAAGAACAACTGGCAAAGTTAGAGAATACAAACTCCGTCTACCTCTGACCAGATTTAGAGTTAACCTAAATCTAAGAGCGTTAAGTTAGAAACTTTATCACTTTTCAGAGAAGCACAAAAGCCAGAAATGCAAACGGCAATGCCAATAATCTAATGTTCATTTTGGACAACTCTCATCTCTAGACAAACTCATGGCACTGTATAGATGGGCTGTATCCTGAAAAGTCACATCTTTGAGCAGGCCTTTATGACCAAGTCATTAAAGCAGCACTTTTATGGGCACCTGTGCATTCACAGGCACAGGAAGTGACTGCACAGCTGCTTCATTTAACAGATGCTGCTATTAAAACTACATACAGCCATTTGAATCTCATCCTCAGCATACTCCTACACGTGTTACACAGCCCTTGTAGTGACTGTACTTACAATATGGCTCCAGGGTTGTGTAAAATGGACCCTCCAGCAAGCTTGACATTCTAGAAGAGAAAGAAAAGGTTTTTAACACAGTAAACAAACTACTTAGAAGGACACTTAAGGTTTGCACTTTCAGTAGCCTGACATCAAGAAATGCGTATGCTGGCTGTATCTGCCTGAATACTCCATTCATAGGGAATCTGAGACATTTGATCCCTTCCTGCTCCTTCATGAAAAAGAATCTACACAGTTGCTGAGTCCAACTTAGCTAACAAAAATAAGATGAGCAGACCCAGGAGAAAAAACAGAAGAGATTTTTAGGAAAAATATCTTTACAGAGGACTGCATTTCATACAGCTTAAGAGTTTAATTCTGTTTCTACAACACACCAAGCTGACCCAAATGCAACAGGTAAAGCAGAAAAGTATCCATCAAAACTGTTCAGAAAACCCAAGATGCTACTTTAATATAAACTGCATTAATACAGTTATGCCTTTCCAAAATTACACAAAATTATCAACTATTTTGTAAGATAAAGAATTACTTGGCAAAAAATAGTTACTGGCTTTCTCCAGAGCACTAGTATTTAATTCTGAGTTAAGTGTCCACACCCCAAACTAAATTTAGAGTCAGTATACTGTCTGCAGCAGACCTAAACACAGACACTTAACAGCAGTTAAGGTCATTTCTGCATCATCTTCTGCATATCACATTGCACCACGTAACAGTGCATCTCACAGTGGGACATAGGGAAGGGTAAATAAACAAAGCTTAAGAGATAGTAGGTGTCACCTTGGTTGTGCTGGGCTGCAGCACATGGAGTTGGTAGACAGTCAGGCACAGCTTATTCAGGTTAATATAGAAATTCACAAGTATGTCTGGAGGCAGAGCAGGAGTGAACATTTTCTGGTGAGAAAATAAGCAGTTTCTTTGTCAGTTAAAGGACCATTATTTCTAATGCTGGGAAATCACTACCTTTTTCTAAGCCATACTACAAGTTACCGCATAGTGAGCAGGACACTAGGAAAGAAACAAAGACTAGGCAGTTTGCATGCAATGTTTATTCCTATTGCTGCACTTGACAGAAATGGCGTGTGCATGATTGTGACAAAAGAGGATGGAAGTAGCGTTCACAAGGGCAAATCATCCCTGGACAAGATTCCTGGGAAGAGAACAGAACTTACTCTCTGAGAAATAGAGTCCTCATGCCCAAGTCATCTGTTTTCCTACAGGAAGATTCAGAGAAGCCAAAAATGCAGGGTTTGCACCTACTTCAGCTCTCTTTCTGCCTCAGTAGACACTTGGAAACCCATTTCCACCAGGATACAGCACAATATCCTAACTGTTGCATGCTACCAGACTGTACGGAGATCTAGACCACAACACACTTACTGCGAGACCACTGGAGGCAATCTCTGGTAGAGTTAGAGTGGCTGGAGTGGTAAGCCGATTTCGGGCTCTTGAGAGCTGTAACATCACAGCGTCCATAAGCTACAAGATAGTATACAGTACACTGCTAAGTGGCAGTCCCTGGACAGCTCTAGATAACATACTTTAGAATCCTACAGCCTTTTGCAAGTGTTACAACAATCACCACCACCAATATCCCCTTGCCCTTCCAGGAATTCAGGGACTTATTGGGAAGGGGTGGCTCCCACACAAATGCAGTTTAACTGTTACCACAGTCATAGATGCTTGTGAGACAGGCAGGAGTGTTTAATACCAGGGATTGATGAGAGAACAGCTATTCATTAGAAGAGTAAGAAGAGAACACGAGATCAATTACTGATGCTACAGAAGCATCAACAAACTCACTATGAGCTCTTCTGAAGAGCATTAAGGAAAAACAACAAGCTGTGTTCTAGTTATCCCCATTCCCACATCACAGATACAACTGCTGCATGGGCCCCCCCATACATAACCATCTATGAGCTAGGGCACTAGAGAAAAGAACCAGCTCATTGTGAGAATCTCCTGCCAGAAACCACAGTCCAAAGGCTTATTCAGGCAGACTTCCCTTTCCATAAAAAACGTGGGAAGCAACATGTCTGTTACAGAGCTCATAACTGCTAAGATGAAGGCATGTTATATTCTGACTAATTTCTCCCCGCTGCTTTCACCCAAAAGTAAAAAAGTTTTATTACTTAGCTTCTTCCTATTTAGCAGCCCTTGCCCACTAAAATAAAAGGTTTAGCTTTCTCACATTTTATATTGTGATGGATTCTAATGAGTAAGTTGAAGCTGGTAGCTTCAGTGAGCAATTCCAAGCAAAGGGCTGGGCTTTATCACCACTCAGCAGCTGGTCTGTATCAGATCACATCTACTGCTAGCAAGTAGTACCTTCAAACTGTCAGTAAGTCACGAGTACTAACTGCAGTCTTTTGACAACTACCTCATGTCTTCACTTGCCATATGCACTGACAGGGAAGACCATGAGCTCTGTAACCACATCTTCTAAAAAAGATCTAGGGAGATGTTCCCAGATTATCATTGCTGGCAACAAGGCACTGAATATAATAATATGAATGCTCATATTATCATTCACCAGGACGTACAGTCCTGTTACTAACGCTAAACTGGCATAGATTCATATAAAATATGAGGTCACATGGTGTCATGGTTTAAGCCCAGCCGGTAACTCAGCACCATGCAGCCCCTCCTCACTGGCAGAGCATGGTAGACTGAATAGCCCCTGATCAGGGTACGTGCTACTGAGAACAACTAAACCTTCAGTGAGTTATCAGCACTGTTCTCAGACTAGAGTCAAAAACACAGCATTGCACCTGCTGCCAGGAAGGAGAAAAACAACTGTTACAGCTGAACCCAGGACACATGGATAATCTGACACAGCTGGGTACAATTGGGGAACCCATTTCCAGTATGAGACTCAAGACAATAATGTACATTAACTATCTTTAAAACAGCAAATGGAGGGAAGAAACCACACAAGTAGAGAATGCTTTTACCTCACCTTGAGAACCTCCGAGCCTGTTTTGAACTGGTAGTTTACATCTCTGTTCATAAGCAGGTAAATAGCTTGGTTCACATGATTTCTAGCATCCTGGATCTGCAAAAGTACAAATGCAGCCCTCTTAAAGAAACACTCTCTATGATACACACTAGATACACACTAGGAAGAAGACGTTTCCCCCAATTATGTCATTGGCCCTAAGAAGATAGTGACTTCTCAAACGTTAAGGCCATTTCTGTCTAAGTACCAGACACTCACTAGCACAAACCTGCCACTGCCCAGATGCATTATTGAGTTCTTCACTCAAGGACTGGAGATGCAAAACAGTCTGATAGCTACAACCTGGATTGTCAATAAAAATACTGCTGCTGCCCTGAAGGCACACTGACATCATGCACTCTCATCCTGGGAGGACTCTGATCATGACTGCGCAGATAGGAATTCTCACTGTTAATGGCGAGCAGCCAGGTCTAACAACACGCATAATGATTTCTTTTTCAGGAACTATTGGAGCTAAAACCAATGACATAAATTACATCAATAGCAGCAACAGTGAGCAACAAACATGGATTTCTAATATAATTGCAAACTATAATTGTTGAGGTTGAGAGTTACCTCCAGCGTCAAGAGGCTGCCATCGTGCCACTTGTGTGGCACTTGACCAGGTTCAGGACACAGCTGGCTCAAGACTCTCTCAAGCAAGACTGCTTGTAGCCAGAAGACAATTACCAAAGAAAGGTTAATAGGTTATCCCAGGATAAAAGGAGCAAGAACAAACCAGAGGAAGGAAAAAAAATGGCCCTGGGAGAAAGTGACTTGTGTTCAGTTCCAGGCAGCAGCAGGAAAATTTAAAAAAAGTAAAGGGGTAGATCAGAGTGTGTAATAAATGGGAAAACAGGGAAGCCTGTATGAGAGGTGGCTGCTGGAAGATGGATAACACAGCTTGGGATATTTGTAGTTTGATACATCTAGACTGCTCCCTAGCACCCCCACATCCCAGCTGAGCCTTATAGAGGCCTCCCTCTGCCATAGATCTGGGTACTGGTTCCTTCTCATCTAGAGCTCAGGGATCACAGTACAGCCCCTCTCTTACAAAGCATAAGGCTCTGGAGGCTACAGAGAGCAGAGAGAGATGTTAATGTCCACTGCCAGACTGCAAAGATATTCTGCAGGTACTTGGTCTATGGCATCTCCAGACATCATCTCCAGCCTTTATATCTTTCAGATGCTTCTGAGCAAGCTAAATGGTTCCTGTTATCCAACTCAGCAATGCAAATCCTGCTATTATAAGGACTTGCTTCATTCTTATTCCCCCTTGATTTTGCTGTTTTCTAATCAAGTTCCTCAAAACTTGTCTGCCTGCACCTGTGTTCCTCAAAGATGTGCCTATACTACAGTTTCTTACTGATGGCTTTACTTTGCACAGAGGAACAAAACTCTAACTGGCACAACTCCCTAAGGGAAGAAAACTCACAATACTTCAAGATACTAATTTTTAATTCAGAGGACAAAGATCGCCACAAAATCACCGTAAATGCTTCTGCACCTAAAAGCTGGTAAAAGCCTATCAACCAGGCAGTAATAGAAACCAGCAATAGCAATAGATGTGCTGCTAAGTGTCATCACAGAAACTTCCTTGCCTTGTTGTGAGGCATAAACAAGCCTAGTCAAGCTTGACATTAACATCTCAAGTACATGATTTTCCAGATTTCTACAAAGTTACCAGGTAGAGGTTTCACTCCACTGCCAAAGCAGTTATTGGAAACTGAACTCAATACCAAATGCACTTATCACCCAGAAAAAGCTGAGCCATGGCATAGTGAAGCACATAGTGGAATACATCTTTCTCCAACCTACTCAGAGACAACAAAATAACTGCAGGAAACTGCGTCTTCAAGATCAGGTCCTGAAATCAGGTATCTCCCAGCAAAACAGGGGGAAAGAGATTCAGTGTTCTGGATAGCCAAATCCCTTTAATTCCTTAGCTGAGGGAACTTAGCTATGCCACAAGAACACAGTGCAGTGAGGGCTATTCTCAGTTTGAAGAAATGTTTCTGTAAGAGAATGAGAGCAAGCTACTCAAAGTTGCCTGAAGTTGCTTTTTGCCCTGCTAGCCTGGGTTTTACAACCAGACACAAGGCCAGTACTGCACAGCCACCCTAAACCCTCCTTTTGAAGCATTAGGATTGCTATGCAGACAGCCTTCAGCTTGCTTGTGCTTCAGGAACAAGCAGATCCCACCTCTCTCCCAGCACCATAACTGAATTTAACTGCATCTGTTTCCTCCCTTAGTTTTTACCACTGGAGTTAATGTAGGATGGACAAAACCTTCTCTCTCGGAGAACAAGGGGCCACAGCTACTGCTTGGAGGGCACAGATGCTACAGAGGGGTAGACGTCTAAAGTTAACAGTACCTGCTGCAATTTCCACTGCTTGTCTTCCCGAAATGTGAAGTGCAAGAGCTGATTAGTTCTGGGCATTTTCAGATTAACATCCTTGAAGAAAGAAACAAACACATGAGAGCAAGCAATCCCCACGTGAGGAAGGTGGAGACTGCCAGTCCCCCTCCGTTCTGTCTCCCAGATCATCTTGGCAAGCTGTTTTCCGCTGTCCTGGCATGGCAAGAACCTCAGTCCTCCTACAGGAAGGTGTTAATACAAAGGGTAAGTTGAAAGGCATTTAGTGAATGAGGACCCAGGCAGGTCACACAAACTCATCTCAGAAGGCCCATGAGGAAATTTGATATTTAACAACAAAGGCAGTAAAAGCCAGGAAAGCCTATGGAAGTTGACTCCACCACTCACCACAGAGTGGGCATGGGGTGGTGTTAAAGACGGATCTTAAATTTCAACAGTTGCCAAAACATTAAGGATTTAAGGCCCATTAGGGACGACTGACAAAGAATACCTACTGATCACTGATAAAGCATAGTAAGGATGGCCTCCACCTTGAGGTCATCCAAGTGTGAAAAAAGGATGACTCCCACCCCTTGATGGTGGTACAAGGCAAGAAGCACTGCAAGTACTCACAGCTTGACATAGGGCATCTCCCTGCAGCGTCAACACTCCTTTCACCTGGTCTGTGCTGAAATGAGAAGAAAGATCTGGGCAACACTAGTCACAGGAGGCAAGAGACATGTACTGAAACATCGATCTAATGCCACCCCTGCCTGTCCCATGTAGCTGAACCCCCAGAGCTCAGCTGGGAGATGCAGATGAACCCCACACACACTTTCATGTCCTGAGCCCTTGGCCTGCAGCCAGCTGCTGTCATGTCCTTTTTGAGCCACCTCACCCTAACTGCCCTGCCTAAAACATTATGTTTATTTCTGATCCTATCCTTATTTCATGTATTATCTATTAACAATTTGGTTGCTGTTACAAACAGCTCTAGCAGGCGCAAACACAAGATATTAAGATTACCTACTGACACTGGAGTGCTAGGTGGTTAAAAAAGGAGTTGAAAGTTACACACACACACACACACCTCCCCAAGAGAAAAAAAAAAAAACATAAACCAAAAAACTCCACACCCCAAATGCTTTAAAAGGCCCCGCAAGAGGGCTTACATCTATAATGAACAACAGGGGAAGACTGAAGCACCTGGGCCTTCAAGAACTCAAGTTTAGCCACACCTTACATTTTAATACACTAGACAGAGACTCTTGATATCAACACTTTCTAAGATCCACCCTGCAACAGTAATGAACGAACACTAAAATCAACTTTAATATCTAAAGAATGGAAGCTTCAAACCCAGTACAGAATCACTGCATCATTCTATAAAATGTTCACCATGCTGTTTCTAAGGACTAAAGTGTACTACTTTGCTTGCAACATCTGCCAGAGTGCAGCTATTCAGACCAAGGCCTAAGCTGAAGATCAAAAAATGGACAGCTACTTCAGAAGAACTACACTTCTATAGCACCTTCCACATAGGTCTCAGCTTGCTCTGTGCAAACTCTCTTTCTTATTGCTATTTTAGGGCGATTAGGACGAAGGTTAAGATTTGTCCACAGTCAGAGCCAGAAACTGAGCCAAGAGCAGAATTCAGGTTTTTTAATTCAACTCCCTGCACCCAGAATCAGAAAAACACCTCTTGGCAAAACTGCTGACAACAGCACACTGATGCAACCCGCCAGTCAGTGGTCAGGAACAAATGACTATGTTATTGGTGTTAGTAGGAAATGGCACAAGTCTGGCTAAAGCAGCCCTGAAACACAGATACAGGCTGTTACATTAACCTGCCAGAAGAGTCTGTTTGTTTTTCCTTAAGGCAAAATCTTATATTAAAGAAAACCCCTTTATTCTTGGGATGCTGTAGACCTTTGCATCAGATGCTAGAGGAACAGCACCCTGCACCACAGAAGAGAGCCCCCAGCACAAGCATAGCCCCCACCAAGTGGCCTGGCAGATCAGCAGCAACCCACTGACCATGACCACTTACCCCGATGTGCTCAGCACAAAGTTCTCCTGCTTGACAGCTCCTCCCAAGCCACTGGCAGGCAGGGCAAAGCGTTGAGAGGCCTCCTGCCCGAGAGAGGACACAGTGAGTGCTGGAGTGTCCACTGGGGCCCAGCACACCTCAAGCCAGGAACAAAGACAAGAGAAGAAACGCAGACGCCAAATGCAGTGGCCAAATGCAGAGCAATCATCTTTGCGAGCTTCCTACAACCCACCTAGCAGAACACATGGATTTTACCTCACCGTCCTGCAGGACATACAAGAAAGCTGGAGAGGGGCATAGGACAAGGGCCTGTAGGGACCGGACAAGAGGGAACAGCTTTAACTTACCAGAGGGGAGACTGAGATGAGATCTTAGGCAGAAGTTCTTCTCTGTGAGGGTGCTGAGGCGCTGGCACAGGGTGCCCAGAGAAGCTGTGGCTGCCCCATCCCTGGCAGTGTTCAAGGTCAGGTTGGACACAGGGGCTTGGAGCAACCTGGTCTAGTGGAAGGTGCCCCTGCCTGTGGCAGGGGGTTGGCACTGGATGAGCTTTAAGGTCCCTTCCAACCCAAACCAGTCTGGGATTCTAGGACAGGTGCAGACCAGGAGGAAGCTCAGCGCATGCAGACCACGGCAGCAGGGCTTGTAAATCCTGTGCTTCAGCTGTCACTCTGCATAGCCCAGCCCAGCCCTGAACACCCTCAGGGCCATGGCAGTGACCCTTTCTCATCATGCTCCCTGCCCTGGGCTGCACTGTGCAAGCACCACTGGTCCCTTACCCACCTGGGAAGGGTGAAAACCAGCCCTCCTTACTGGTTATACTGGCTGGCAGCTGTCCTTTAATCACACTTCACCCTTAAAACTCTAACAAATTCTTCAAAACAGACACTATATTTAGAGATACTGCAGGCTATTGTCACCTGCTACTGAGTCACATCCTGGGTTGGCATTACAGCACTCTGACCTGCCCTGGCACCCACCTCTTACCTCCACATTTTTGCCCCTGCTCCTGCATCAAACAGGAGCTCCCTCAGAAACCTCAGGGCATGAAGAAACTGGGCCTGTTGAAAACTAACCTAGCAGGAGAGCAGTGAGCTCTTGTGCACACAATCCCCTTTGGCCAGTTCACCACCCGCCTGCCTCGAAAAAGCTAAACCCAGCAGCCCAGGCTCAGGTTGGCTGAAAGGTGCTGGAGTCCTGGTTCAGCTGAACACATCACGCCTCTGAAAGGGGCAGGCAGCAGCACAGAAGCAGGAACACTGGGTATATCAAGTGAACGATGGTTATGAATGAGGAGAGTGCATGCGCAAGTAGTAGCTTGTCAGCTAAAGGCTGTCATGCTCATTTCCACCACCACATGACAGAGTTACAGGCAGATCCAGATTCTCTGTTCTGTAAGATATCCCATCTCATGCAAATGCCTGACAGACAGGTCTGGCTGCCTCCGTGTGCCTTTTCAAAGCAGCTCTCAGCAAAGAGCGTCAAGAATGGAGCAATCTAGGGGAAATCAGCTTTACTGAGTCCTCGAGATCAGAGGGCAAGCAGACACCTGGGACAGCACTAGACATGTGTGATGGACCTTTCTGTGCACCCTCTACCAAGAATTTTTTCCTCCAGGGGAAACCTACCACCGTTCCTCACATGAGAGAGCAAACAAACCCACAGCACAAAAAACAGATGAAGCAAATTAAACCTTACCTTCAAAATATCCTGCAGCTGTTTCAAAACAACATGGACCTCTTCTTGTAAAAGCCATTTAAATTCTTCTTCCTACATTGTGGAAAGATAGCAGTGGAATCATTAGAAGTTTTGACACTGTTTTACAAAACAGCCTTCATACAAATCACAGGATTGGGAAAGAACAGGCAGCACAAGATGTGAATTTAAGGCAAACATGCAGATCCTGCTGCTTCAAAACGTGGGACATCTTTTTAAGCTGCTGGAGTGGACTGACCCTGGCTGTCAGGCAGCCAGACACCCGCCCACACCTCAACAGGGTAAGTGGAGGAAACGAGATGAAAAGCTTGTGGCTGACATAAAGACTAATTACCACCACGGGCAAAACAGGCTCACCTTGCAGACAAATTAGGTGGTGAGAAACAAAGACAAAATCTAAAATGTTCCTCCTCCCCCACCCGGTAACATTTTACCAAGCAACAGCAGCATAAAAGTAAACCTAAACTGAAAAGGGGAGGGGGGGGGGAGAGAGAAAGGCTGAAGACTCCCCATTACCTGGGCAAATTCAGTAAGAAATAAGTTTGGATCTGGTGACAATGCCTCAGGCCTCAGCCAGCAGAGAAGCCTGTATAAAGCAGATCCTCAAACCACACAGCTAAGCATTGCTGTTAAACCATAAGACCCCCAAGCTGAAAATCACCACAGAAGCAGGGACAGGAGCAAGCAACTGACAAGAGACTGACACATGCTGCCTTAGAAATTTTCCACATGGAAGGTACTAGAAGGGAATGAATTGAACGGGTTGCCCACAGAAAACATGGCGAGGTGTGGTCAACTCAGAAATTTAAGCCTGTGGTTTCTCTGCTAGACAGTCCCTGCTTACTGTGAAAAACACAAAATAGCTACTCCCTGATATGTCATCACCTCACACATGAGTTACCTGACCAAAGAGTAGAAAAAGGACAGTTCTGTTTTCACAAACATTCACCCAAAGCAGGTACACACAACTAATCTAGGCAGGACTCTCCGTTATCCTTCAAAGCAGCGTGGCTGCAGGACTACTGACTTTCACCATGTAATCCTGTTCTGGGTTTCTGGGCATCACACCAACATATTATTGGATTCCTTGCTCTTTTGTTCTCTGTACACTCGCTCTCCTCCAAGTTCCCGAAGGAACAGAACTCACACAGGTAACACAGACACCTTGAGTGGCTCCACCACCCCACTGCTGCCATGCACTTGTTTCCACTGCACATCATCACTGGTATCTTTCACTCCACAACCAACAGCACAAGATCTTCCTGCCCCAGTATTAATTTTAGACTAAGTCAAGTTCATTCACCATGTCTGCGCAAGTACATGTTTTGTGGTTTTGGGGAATGCAGCCATATCATTCCAAACCCGAGTAACTTTAGAAAATTCCGGTTTTCACACGTGGCTTTCTGCCTAGCCCAGATGCATTTTTCAAATTCACTCCTTTGAGAGGAAGCTTTCACAACTTCTTGCAGATCATGTTCCTGGAAGCATCTATAATGTCAGCAGGTCCAGGTCTTCCCTACCTTTATCAAGCCAACAAGGCTGCTCTGACATGTATTACAGAATCATTTGGGTTGGAAAGGATCTTTAAAATCACTTGATTCCAAGCCCTTGCCAAAGGCAGAGACACCTGCCACTAGAGCAGGTTGCTCCAAGCCCCATCCAACCTGGCCTTGAACACTGCCAGGGATGGGGCAGCCACAGCTTCTCTGGGCAGCCTGTCTGAATGCCTCATCACTCCCACAGTAAAAAATTTCTTCCTTATATCTATCTTCCCTGTTTAAGTTCTAGCCCATTGCCCCTTGTCCTATCCTGCCTACCATTTGCTGGAGCTGGTCCTCCACCAAGCAGCGTGTTGGGATGACTATGAAAACCATCAAGGTCGTGTAACTCAACCAGTCTTTGCCGTAGGCAGGGCACTGACCCGCGCCCGAGCTCGCCCGCGCCCAGCGCAAGGAGCGGCAGCAAC